TATTCACTTGCTTTGCCTACACAACACTCCCGGCATGATCCTGAGCTTAAACATACACAAAGCATTTGATTTGCTGTCTTGGGAATATATGTACTACGCTCTGGAAAAATGGGGTTTCCGTCCCGTCTTCATGTCTTGGGTAAAGGCCCTATGCCATGGACCCTCTGCAATGGTCCGCTATCTCTCCAGACAATCCCCAGCTTTCCCTATTCAAAGAGGAACACGTCAGGGATGTCCCCTCTCCCCAATACTTTTCGTTTTAGTCCTAGAACCCTTACTCCACCTCATAAGATCCAACCCGGATATCAAAGGGATTCTACTAGCCCATCAAACGTTTAAAGTTAGTGATTTTGCTGACAACCTGCTTATAACCCTAACTCAACTGCATACCTCCATATCCACTGTTTTCTTAATTTTAACCAGATTCTCCCGTATATCAGGTCTTGTAGTAAATGAAGACAAATCTTCAGCTCTTAATGGTTCCCTTCCAGAAGTGGACATAAACTTACTCAAACAAAATTACAAGTTTACTTGGCCCCCCACGCGTCTGGAATACCTGGGGATTAACCTTAAAAACTCTTACTATACCCTATAAGAGGCCAACTACACCTCAACTTTCCACTCCCTTAAATCACTCCTCACCACTTGGTCACACCAACCCCTCTTGTGGATGGGTAGAATGAACGCAACAAAAATGACTATCCTTCCCAAACTTTTATACCTATTATGCACTATCCCGGTCCCAATTCCCTCTTATGCCTTGAACTCTTTTCAAAATCACGTTCTGCACTTTATCTGGGCCAACAAATACTCTCCGGTCACTACATACACCATGCTTACACACTGGAAACAGGGTAGCCTGGGAGTTTCTAACTTTTCTAAGCATTATTGGTGGCTCAGATCACACCCTTAACCTACCTGTATGCAGCACAAGCCCCCATATAGGTAACTTTAGAAGCACTTTCCTGCCACCCGATCTCCCTCTCCTTCCTTTTATGGCTTCCTCCGAAATCCAGACCCACATCTCTTAGCCCCCTTATGGCCCACTCATTGCACATATGGGACTCAAAAAAATACTCCAGTGGACTAATCTCTCCTCACTTACCACTACTCCCCCTCATGGGCAACCCCCCCACTGAACTCTTCTGCTATCTACAGCTCAAACATTGGGTAACTTCGATCCACACCAATAAAGATCTGACCACACAACTATCCCTGTTTGAACACATTTGCCATAGGACGCTTCTCTCCCCTAAACTTATCTCAATTCTGTATTCGCAATTAACTAACCTGCAGAACCCCAACTGCCATGCTTACGTTTCCAGATGGGAAAGGGACCGCAAAAGGCTCTAAAGATCATACATGTTGGTCACATATATGGTCAACCATGACCTCATGCCCTATTAATGTCCTCACCATGGAATTGACCTTTAAAACATCTCCACTAGCTTTACTCCATTCATCTGCCCCCAACACCTGTTTTCGTGACTGTAACGTGCCGGGCGATGTACTACACATCTGGTGGGCATGCCCTATGCTCTCCTGATTTTGGTCAAAACTCCTCAGATTACTTCAATCATTACATACCTACTCCTTCTTGAGAGACCCGTGGTACACTATCTTACACCTAAAACCTCCGGGTCTGTCTAAAAACGAATTTAAACTAGCCACCCACATACTATTTGCGGCTAAACAAACCATAGCGAAAGCCTGGAAGCAGCAATTTGTATCCTTCACAGAAGTCCATCACCGCCTTGACTTTTTTCTAATAAATTAAAAGCTGGCTCGTATACTCTGATACCCACAAGAGATTCATTAAGATTTGGAATCCGTGGATTCGATATGCCCACCCGGAAATCTATGCGAATAGCTTTATTTCACTATAACCCAATCATACCTCACTAACTGAACTCAAGCGTTTCGAACGTCCATTACTCACCTTTTCTCTTCTCTTCCTCCGCTTTATTTTAATCTCTATTTTTCGGCTCCTCAGCAGGGCTGCCTTTAAGAAGTTCACTTGATGCATTATATCTCCTATTTTGCTAGCATTTTAGCGTATCTTCATCGCTATAATTCTCATTATTGATGTCGGCTGTTGATCTACCACCGAACAACTTTTTTACCTATCCGGCACAAAATGTTTGTTCTACTTCTGTTTTAGGACATGTTATCCTAATCATTACCTACCTTAATTATATTTCATGCATGTAAAACTGCTGTTGACTACTGTTTTTAGTCAAAATCTTGTTTATGTCTTAGAAAATGGTTTAATTTGTATTCTGTACTTGAAATATTGAAAAAACCTATTGAAAAGAAAGCAGGGCCTGATGTGAATATACAATATGTATGTAAAGTGCTGTGTAAATTAACGTCACTATATAAATACCTGAACTAATAAAAATGCATGTTTATATATGTGTTTTTTGCAATCTGGTACATTTTAGAAATTTTCACATAATGTAGACAAAAGAGCTAAAATTACAAATAAAAAGTGTGGATGTACAGGACTGTAAGCTCAGATAAAGGTGTGTTAGTGATTTTGGGGGGGGGGGGGCCACACTTTTCTTTTTGGTTAAGGGGTTCCCCTTCAAATCCATGACAGTTATATCTCTGTCATTTGACATTTAATTTTTAATGTCTAATTCATATTTTCTTAGAATATCTACTTAGAATTATATATCTTCATTCTTGAATCATGGCACTACTATATATTCCAAATTAATGTTTTTGGCAGCTTAGTGGTTAGCACTAGCAACACCAGGGTCATTGGATCAAATCCCACCCATGGCACCACATACCTGGAGTTTGCACGTTGTCTCTGTTCCTGTGTGGGTTTCCGCAAACACTCCAAAGACATTCTGGTAGGTTAATTGGCACTAGTATGAATGTATAGGTGAAACTCGAAAAATTAGAATATCATGCAAAAGTTCATTTATTTCAGTAATGCAACTTAAAAGGTGAAACTAATATATGAGATAGACTCATTACATGCAAAGCAAGATAGTTCAAGCCGTGATTTGTCATAATTGTGATGATTATGGCTTACAGCTCATGAAAACCCCAAATCCACAATCTCAGAAAATTAGAATATTACATGCAATCAATAAAAGAAGGATTGTACATAGAACAATATCGGACCTCTGAAAAGTATAAGCATGCAAATGTACTTAATACTTGGCTTGGGCCCCTTTTGCAGCAATTACTGCCTTAATGCGGCGTGGCATGGAAGCTATCAGCCTGTGTCACTTCTGAGGTGTTATGGAAGACCAGGATGCTTCAATAGCGGCCTTCAGCTCTTCTGCATTGTTCAGTCTCATGTCTCTCATCTTTCTCTTGGCAATGCCCCATAGATTCTCTATGGGGTTCAGGTCAGGCGAGTTTGCTGGCCAATCAAGCACAATAATCCCATGGTTTTTGAACCAGGTTTTGGTGTTTTTGGCAGTGTGGGAAGGTGTCAAGTCCTGCTGGAAAATGAAGTCAGCATCCCCATAAAGCTCATCTGCGGAAGGAAGCATGAAGTGCTCCAGAATCTCCTGGTAGACGGCTACGTTGATCCTGGACTTAATGAAGCACAGTGGACCAACACCAACAGATGACATGTGTCAGGGCTCCAGGGTGTGACCAGAGGTATGTGACTGACGCAGGGAAACGCAGGCTTCAGATAAGTTATAACAATATAATTTATTAAAGACTAACGATACAAACATAAACGCAGTGCAATACTAAAACATAACACAGTGCAAACGAACCAAACCAAACCACCCACAGATAACAGTACATACAATGCAAGCGTCGTCAGGCAGGCCGGGTCAATAACAATCGGGCAGGTAGGTACAGGGGGTCAGGCAGAGAATGGTTGGGGTCACAAGCCAGGGATGAAACAGGAGAAGTCAGAAGAGGTCCAGATCAGGCAGGGTCAGCAACGAATCAGTCAGACAGGGACAGGAACAGGAACAGGAATGCAGGAACAAGATACAGGGCCCAGGAAAAACACACACCAAGGCAAAGACTGCAGGTCTGGCCATCACTTAAATACACCTGCATAAGGAGTTTCAGGTGTTTGGCTGGCTGCAGGGTTGAGTCTCTGATTGCTGGGAGCACCCGCTGACCAGCCCTGGTACTGCAGCCCACAAGGCAGGTGAGTCCCACCATTACTGGCAAGTCCATTCCTAACAGTAACCCCCCCTCAAGGAGCGGCCTCAGGACGCTCCAAACAGTCCTAGCTGGGCAAAATGTTCCACCGCCCGGGTCTGGTAACTGGCGGGATATCAAAGACTGGCACATCGGGCAGGACTCCGGGCAGCGGCACACCGGGCAGGACTCCGGGCAGCGGCACACCGGGCAGAGGCACATCGGGCAGGACTCCGGCAGCGGCACATCGGGCAGCGGCACATCGGGCTGGACTCCGGGCAGCGGCACATCGGGCTGGACTCCGGGCAGCGGCACATCGGGCTGGACTCCGGGCAGCGGCACATCGGGCTGGACTCTGGGCAGAGGCACATCGGGCTGGACTCCGGGCAGAGGCACATCAGGCTGGACTCCGGGCAGAGGCACATCGGATCACCAGGCGGAGCGGCAGGCACCGGGCCACCAGGCGGAGCGGCAGGCACCGGGCCACCATGCGGAGCGGCAGGCACGGCCACCAGGCGGAGCGGCAGGCACCGGGCCCCCAGGCGGGGCGACAGGCACCGGGCCCCCAGGCGGGGCGACAGGCACTGGGCCCCCAGGCGGGGAGACAGGCACCAGGCCCCCAGGCAGAGCGACAGGTCTCGGGCCCCCAGCAGAGCGGTGGGCACCGGACCCCCAGGCGGAGCGACAGGTCTCGGGCCCCCAGATGGAGTGACAGGTCTCGGGCCCCCCAGGTGGAGCGGCGGGCGCCGGACCCCCAGGCGGAGCGACAGGTCTCGGGCCCCCAGACGGAGCGGTGGGCGCCGGACCCCCAGGCGGAGCGACAGGTCTCGGGCCCCCAGGCGGAGCGGCGGGGTGCCGGACTCCCAGGCGGAGCGACAGGTCTCGGGCCCCCAGGCGGAGCGGCGGGCGCCGGACCCCCAGGCGGAGCGACAGGTCTCGGGCCCCCAGGCGAAGCGGCGGGCGCCGGACCCCCAGGCGGAGTGACAGGTACCAAGTCACCAGGCACGACAGTGGGCTCCGAGTCAACTGGCATGACCGCTGGCACTGGGTCAGACATTGGATCGTCTGGCTGGACAGCGGGCATCGGGTCACCAGGCATCAGGTCATTTGGCTCGACAGCGGGCACCGCGTCATCTGGCAAGGCAGTGGGCACCAAGTCACCAGGCACGACAGTGGGCCCTGAGTCAATTGGCACGACAGCGGACACCAAGTCATCAGGTACCGGATCGTCTGGCTCAACAGCAGGCACCGGGTCATCTGGCGCTGGATCGTCTGGCTCGACAGCGGGCATCGGATCACCAGGCATGACCGCGGGCACTGGGTCATCAGGCATTGGATTGTCTGGCTCGACAGCGGGCATCGGGTCACCAGGTATGACAGCGGGCACTGGGTCACCAGGCATCAGGTCATTTGGCTCGCCAGCGGGCACCACGTCATCTGGCAAGGCAGTGGGCACCGAGTCACCAGGCACGACAGTGGGCTCTGAGTCAATTGGCACGACAGCGGGCACCAAGTCATCAGGTACTGGATCGTCTGGCTCGACAGCAGGCACTGGGTCATCTGGCGCTGAATCGTCTGGCTCGACAGCGGCATCGGGTCACCAGCCATGACAGCGGGCACTGGGTCATCAGGCATTGGATCGTCTGGCTCGACAGCGGGCATCGGGTCCTTAGGTACCGGATCGTTTGGATCGACAGCGGGCACCGGGTCATCTGGCGTTGGATCGTCTGGCTCGACAGTGGGCATCGGGTCACCAGGCATGACAGCAGGCACTGGATCCTCAGATACCGGATCGTCTGGATCGACAGCAGGCACCGGGTCATCTGGCGCTGGATCGTCTGGCTTGACAGCGGGCATCGGGTCACCAGGCATGATAGCGGGCACTGGGTCATCAGGCATTGGATCGTCTGGCTCGACAGCGGGCATCGGGTCACCAGGTATGACAGCGGGCACCGGGTCATCAGGCATGATAGGATCATCAGGCTGGATCAGTTCATCAGGCTGGGTACAGACATCAGGCTGGGTAGAGACATCAGGCTGAAGTGCGGGTGCCGAGGCACCAGGCTGAACCACGGAAGGCAGGTTCTCAGACGGCAGGCTCACCGGTTTGGATACTGGCAGGATGGTACTGGTTGGAAAGAATTTTTGCTTTTTTCTGGTTTTAAACTACTGGAGCACTGCAAGTAAACGCAGGTCTGCAAACGAATGGAGCAGCTAGAGACAGAGAAGAGCTGGAGGATGGAACAGGGGAGGGAACAGTTGCTACAGAGGGCTTCTTTACAGGGTTAAAGGCAGGATAGGTGCAGCGAGTGGGAACAGGGTACTGACATGCGGTAGATAGCAGGGTATACTGGGCTGTAACTGGAGGTGCTGTTGGGAATGCAGGAATAGAGCTTTGAGGAAATAGATTAGAAGCAGGACTGGGTTTTTGTAAGCTGACTGAGGCTGGGTGCAACAAATCTGTCCATGTCTGCAGTATGGGTTGAAACAAGCTGAGTTTACACAAAGCCTGTCTGACCAAAGACTGCACTGCGTTTATACAATCCCTTAATACCTGTGGTGAACATGCAGCATAATGCTCCAAGAAGCAACCCACATCATCCTCTAATAACCATACCAGGGACTCTACCTGGTCTGCACTAAATGGCGGCAAAAAGTCATTCCTGCTTTCAGGGGCACCAGATGAAGCCAACTCTACACAAACCTGAATCAAAGGTTGCACCTCAGAGAACTCTGTGCCCTGATCTACTAGAACATGAGCGATCCGTATACATTCTAGCAGTTGATCCCGGGTATACTCCCTCAGAGCCTGATAAGCATATTCTCTGTCATCAAAAACCAGCAGCGACAAATACACAACCTCATCAAGATCCATCTTTCCCAGCAACAAGCCAAGATGGCTTCCCTGTGCAGCCACTTCTGGTCAGGATAGGCCTTGGTGTAATGTCAGGGCTCCAGGGTGTGACCAGAGGTATGTGACTGACGCAGGGAAACGCAGGCTTCAGATAAGTTATAACAATATAATTTATTAAAGACTAACGATACAAACATAAACGCAGTGCAATACTAAAACATAACACAGTGCAAATGAACCAAACAACCCACAGATAACAGTACATACAATGCAAGCGTCGTCAGGCAGGCCGGGTCAATAACAATCGGGCAGGTAGGTACAGGGGGTCAGGCAGAGAATGGTCGTGGTCACAAGCCAGGGATGAAACAGGAGAAGTCAGAAGAGGTCCAGATCAGGCAGGGTCAGCAACGAATCAGTCAGACAGGGACAGGGACAGGAAACAGGAATGCAGGAACAAGATACAGGGCCCAGGAAAAACACACACCAAGGCAAAGACTGCAGGTCTGGCCATCACTTAAATACACCTGCATAAGCAGTTTCAGGTGTTTGGCTGGCTGCAGGGTTGAGTCTCTGATTGCTGGGAGCACCCTCTGGCCAGCCCTGGTACTGCAGCCCACAAGGCAGGTGAGTCCCACCATTACTGGCAAGTCCATTCCTAACAACATGGCTCCCCAAAATCAACACAGACTGTGGAAACTTCACACTGGACTTCAAGCATCTTGCAGTGTGTGCCTCTCCATTTTTCCTCCATACTCTGGGTCCTTGGTTTCCAAATGAGATGCAAAAGTTGCTCTCATCAGAAAAGAGGACTTTGGACCACTGAGCAACAGACCAGGTCTGTTTTTCTTTAGCCCAGGTAAGACACTTCTGACGTTGTTTGTTGTTCAGGCTTGACAAGAGAAACACAACATTTGAAGCCCATGTCCAGGATCCGTCTGTGTGTTGTGGCTCTTGATGCACTGACTCCAGCCTCAGTCCACTCCTTGTGAAAGTCCCCAACACTTTTGAATGGCCTTTACCTGACAATCCTCTCCAGGCTGCTGTCATCCCTGCTGCTTGTGCACCTTTTTCTTCCACACTTTTCCCTTCCACATAACTTTCTATTAATGTGCTTTGATACAGCACTTTGGGAACATCCAACTTCTTTTGCAATTACCTTTTGAGGCTTTCCCTCCTTATGGAGGGTGTCAGTGATGGTTTTCTGCACAATTGTCAGGTCAGCAGTCTTTCCCATGATTGTGATTCCTACTGAACCAGACTGAGAGACAATTTAAAGGCTCCGGAACCCTTTGCAGGTGTTATGGCTTAATTAGCTGATTAGAGTGGGACACTTTGAGCCTAGAATATTGCACCTTTTCATAATATTCTATTTTTGTGAGATTGTGGATTTGGGGTTTTCATGAGCTGTAAGCCATAATCATCACAATTATGACAAATCACGGCTTGAACTATCTTGCTTTGCATATAATGAGTCTATTTCATATATTAGTTTCACCTTTTAAGTTGCATTACTGAAATAAATGAACTTTTGCATGATATTCTAATTTTTTGAGTTTTACCTGTAAGCTCCTTATGGGTAGGGATGAGCTCATAGAGATGTATGATTGCTTCTTGCCCTACGCAAAACCTGCAATGGACATCCTGCAAGTATGCACATGGTCCAAAAAAGCCATGCCATGTGCATCCTTCCTCTCTGCTTTGCAGAAGGCTCTGGAAAATACAGCCAGCAAGGGTGCCACCCCCTCTACAGTCAGGAGGCAGAAGTGGTCAGTGGTGAGATAAAATATGGGCAATTAACACCTCTGTTTGGTGTTTTTTAACTTTGGTAAGTGTCACTTGCCTCCAGCTGCTGTGTTTACTTTTGGCCTAGGAATCTAACTTTTGGGCTTATGTCTCTGGAATATGTGAATGTTCTGTTGCAAATGTGATGATGCAATTCTGGTCTGGGAGATGGCCCTGAGACTATTTGTGTGTGATAACTAATTTTTATGCACAATCATGGCCCACACATATGCAAATAGATTTTCTTATGTGCAATATTTTTATTATGAAACTATTTATTTATTTCAGGTACTTATATAGCGCTGTCAATTTACACAGCACTTTACACATATATATACTGAACATTCACATCAGTCCCTAACCCTCAAGGGGTGTACAATATAAGGTCCCTAACTCACATTCATACATACACATATTAGGGCCAATTTAGACAGGATCCAATTAACCTACCAGAATGTCTTTGGAGTGTGGGAGGAAACCGGAGCACCCGGAGGAAACCCACGCATGCACAGAGAGAGACCCAGGTTGACAGGTTAAATACGTTACCTATCCACCAGGTAAATTTATTTTTCCGTGAAATTCAGCTTTGCAGCCATTAAAGGTTTTTTTTTTTTTGGGGGGGGGGGGACACAGGGGTTATTTATGCATGTGTACAGAATAAAATATTTTGTAGATGTGTATGGATGTTAATACATTAAACAAAAGTTTGATTTAACAAATACATAAATAGTTCCTGTTCTACATTTGTTTTGATAGCAGCAACACAAATAGGTACATTCATTTACTTGTAAAAAACTGTATTTATGGTGCTACATTTTCTACAGCACTTTACAAGAGGGTTTGAAGGGCACTGCTCCTATGAGCTTACAGTCTAAAAGACATCACAACTTAATTTTCACAGTGTACAGCTGGGAAAAAATAAGGCTAATATTAACCAGGCAACACGTTTTACAAGGTACAACAAATATCACCCCCCTACCCAACCACCCCATCAATTGGTTGTTAGGTGCAAGATTCTCAAAAACAAAAACTTAGCACCAACACCCACCCTCCATTCCCACACATACATTTCTGATTATGGTAAACTGGAAGCTGAATTCCTGTCTACAGGATTAAGTAAATTATATCAAAATTAAGAGTTGTAGGAGTAGAACAATTGATATTTGGTAGTAACAACAAGGGTTAGCAGATGCTCATAAACAACGCATGGTCAGACTGGATAAATACACACAAAATCTAAACCATGCCCACAAAAACCCACTTTTGAGAGACAAATGCACAACAGTTACAGCAAACAGACAAAACAAACATCAAACATGAGGTCATCCTGCACAATATTCAACCCCCTCCCAAAAAAAAGCCATCAAGGACTGACAGCAAATAATCTGGCCTCCTCACAGTCCAAGGAAATCCCTCATACTGCGGTCCTTTATACAACATAGGTTGTACTGTTAGTATGCCCAATGAAGGACACACACACTCTGTCAGTCTCTTCTTGAATGCCTCAAGTAATTGCAACTGATTAGAAGGCAAATACTCCTCCCAAATGTGTTAGATCTTTTGCCTTTAGTCCATGAATTGATGCATATAGCAAAGGGCTAAGTCCATTAGCATGCATAGAAAGTAAGCAACAGTTATGTAATCATATGTACCAGTGCAGTGTAACAGAAAATGTGAGATGTCCAAGTCCCTGGGCATGCTCAGTGCATGCTGTAAGTCCTTGGGCATGTGCGGGGTAAAGAGCAGGAAATATTACATTTGTGATGGCTGCTTCACCCAAATTGCTGACAAGAACATTCGTCATCCAAAACACATGTCCAGTATTTCCCATCAATTCCAATGGCTCTAGTTCCCCCCAGTGCAGTGTGTTCTTGTGCAGCCCACCAAATCAGATCATGATGTGTTCTGCATGGACCTACACTGGGACATGACCAGACACCTCCTAAACACACTGACATGTATTACTGCCTGCAAAGTGTGTGGGTTGTTCGGAGACAGCATCTGCTGGCATTATGACAACCAGAGACTCATCCCCAATGACAGAGGAATGAAAACAGCATAGCCAACATGTATCAAAGAGCATGGGCCCTTCAGTCTGTCATAAATCTGAAGGGGAATTACATGGCCAAAAAATAAAGTGCATCTCCCCCCCCAAAATCACTAACACGCCCTGAGCATATGGTCCTGCAGGACAGGAAAGGGGGGTGAAAGAGCGAGCCCACACACATTTTATTTATAATGTCAGCTCTTTTGTTTCCATTACGTGAAACCCATCTAAAATGTACCAGATTGCAGAAAACATGCATTATTATTAGTTCAGGTACTTATATAGCACCGTCAATTTACACAGCACTTTACATACATATTGTACATTCACATCAGGCTCTGCCTTCAGGGAGCATGCAATGTAAAGTCCCTAACTCCTATACTAGGGACAATTTAGACAGGAGCCAAAACAAATACCAGCATGTCTTTGAATCATGGGAGGAAACCCACACAGGCAAAACATAAAAAGTCCATGCCAGTAGTGCGATGGTTAGGATTTGAACCAGCAACCTAGTACTTCTAGGCAGCAGTACTAACCACTAAGCCACTATGATGTCACATGCATGTAGCCTGAAACTCTGTGGTGTGATCAGTCCTGAGTCCTTGGGCATGCTCAGTGTAACAAACAATATATTTCAAATGGAATACAAACGTGGTGCTGAATAAGCAAAATTAACAAGGCTGCTTATTGTCATTCACAAGTGAAAACATATGGCAAGATTTGCAATGATGGTGGAACCCTCCTACATATAACTACGTATTTTATTTGGACATTTACGTATAGGTCGTGGACTTCCATAGGGTTCTATGTTAATTGATTTATGAATTGATATTTTTCTTTATTGGTGTGTCACTGAGGAACAGTAGTATCACCCTCTGATTTTTTTCTTCATCATTTGTATGTGTATTTATGATGTTGGGACACATATCACATTTTTTGGAATACTATTATGATCCTTTGTATTGAGATACATATAACCAACACACATTGAATTTAGTAACACAGCGCAACATTTGTATTCCTTTTAATTTTGCTTCGTAACTGGTTTTGTGTGTGGTTCGTGAAGACAGCTGTAGGAGTTTGGATTTCGATTTTTGTTAGATGCTGAGTACCAAGTGCAGTTTTTCTACCATTTAGTTAATATATTTCAAAAGTCTAAGTCACTGGACATGATCAATGCACATGGCAGTAAATACATATGTACAGTTGCAAGAAAAAGTAAGTAAACCCCTTGGGATTATGTGGAGTTTTGCATTAATTGGGTATATAATGTGCTCTGAACGTCATCTAAGTCACAACAATAGAAGAACACAGTCTGCTGAACATAATACTACACAAACATTAGATGTTGCCATGGTTTAATTGCACATAACATGTAAACATTCACAGTGCAGGGAGGAAAAAGTATGTGAACCTTTGGACTTAATAACTGGTTGACCCTCCTTTGGCAGCAATAACCTCAACCAAAAGTTTCCTGTAGTTGCAGATCAGACCTGCACAACGATCTGGAGTAATTTTGGACCACTCCTCTTCACAAAACTGTTTCAGTGTAGCAATATTCTTGGGCTGTCTGGTGTGAATCGCTCTCTTAAGGTCATGCCACAGCATTTCAATCGGGTTGAGGTCAGGACTCTGACTGGGCAACTCCAGAAGGCGTATTCTGTGCTGTTGCAGCCATTGTTTTTTTTTTGTTTACAAGCGATTTTATTGTATAAAAGTAGACTGTAAAACAACAGTACATTTTAAAATAGAACTTTCAGCAAAGACAAGGCACTTTTGAATAGTACAATACAGAAAAGTATATTAATGTAAGAAAGAAAAGGAATAGAAAAAAAAATAGATTGCAAGTACATGAAATGTGTGAATGATAAGGTAGGTTAAATGATACATCTGTCAACAGTATATGCCATTCAACTTTCACTGGGAATGTTATTAATCATGCAATAATGCAGCCATTGTTTTGTTGAATTACTTGTATGCTTTGGGTCATTGTCCTGTTGCATCACCCATCCTCTGCGGAGCTTCAGTTGGCGGACAGATGGTCGTATGTTTTCCTGCAAAATGTCTTGATAAACTCTGGAATTCATTTTCCCATCAATGACAACAATCCGTCCAGGCCCTGAGGCAGCAAAGCAGCCCCAAACCATGATACTCCCTCCGCCATGTTTTACAGTGGGGATGAGGTTTTGATGTTGGTGTGCTGTGCCTTTTTTTCTCCACACATAGTGTTGTGTGTTCTTCCCAAACAACTCAATCTTGGTTTCATCTGTCCACAGTATATTTTGCCAGTAGTGCTGTGGAACATCCAGGTGCTCTTTTGCAAACTTCAAACGTGCTGCAATATTCTTTTTGGACAGCAATGGCTTCCTCCGTGGTGTCCTCCCATGCACTCCATTCTTGTTTAATGTTTTCCTTATTGTAGATGTGTCAACAAAAATGTTAGCATGTGCCAGAGATTTCTGTAGGTCTTTAGCTGACACTCTGGGATTTTTCTTTACCTCATGCAGCATTCTGCGCTGTGCTCTTGCAGTCATTTTTACAGGATGACCACGCCTAGGGAGAGTAGCAACAGTGCTAAATTTTCTCGATTTGTAGACAGTCTGTCTTACCGTGGACACATGAACATCAAGGCTTTTGGAGATACTTTTGTAACCCTTTCCAGCTTCATGCAAGTCAACAATTCTTGATCGTAGGTCTTCTGAGATCTCTTTTCTGCGAGGCATTGTTCACATCAGACAGTGCTTCTTGAAACCAGTAAACCCAAAACAGGTGTGTGTTTTTTAAGGGCAGGACAGCTGTCAGCAACACATCCAATATCATCACACTGATTGGAGTCAAGGTTGGCTCACTCCTGGCTACAATTAGCTCTGGGAGAAGTCATTAAGCTAGGGCCTCACATACTTTTTCCTCCCTGCCCTGTGAATGTTTACATGTTATGTGCAATTTAACCATGGCAACATCTAATGTTTGTGTAGTATTATGTTCAGCAGACTGTGTTCTTCTATTGTTGTGACTTAGATGCCGTTCAGAGCACATTTTATGCCCAATTAATGCAAAACTCCACATAATCCCAAGGGGTTCACATACTTTTTCTTGCAACTGTATATATACTGCAGAGAATATATTTAAAAAGAAAAAGAGAGCAAAACATGGCATTAGCATTATTTAACCACTAGCCTACAGGGCACTTATACCCCCTTCCTGCCCAGGCTAATTTCCAGCTTTCAGTGCTGTTGCATTTTGAATGACAATTGCGCGGTCATGGAACACTGTACCCATATGAAATTTTTATAGTTTTTTTGTGACAGATAGAGCTTTATTATGGTGGTATTTAATCATCTCTGGGTTTTTATTTTTCCTAAACAAACCAAAAACGTCTGAAAATTTAGAAAAAAAAAGTTTTTTCATAGTTTTTGTTATAAATTTTGTAAATAAGTGATTTTTCTCCCTTCACTAAAGTGCACTAATGAGGCTGAACTGATGGGCACTGATTGGCTGCACTGATGGGCACTGATAGGTGGCACTGATGGGCACTGATGAGGAGGCACTGGTAGGTGGCACTGATGGGCATTGACAGGCATCACTGATGGGCACTGAAAGGCAGCACTGATAGGTGTCACTGATGGGCGGCACTGACTGGCACTGATTGGCGGCACTGACTGGCACAGTTAGGTGGCACTGACTGGCACAGTTAGTCGGCACTGATAGCTGGCACTGATAGGCGGCACTGATGCACACTGATAGGCGGCACTGACTGGCACTGATAGGTGGCACTGATTGGCAGCACTGATAGGTGGCACTGACTGGCATTGATAGGTGGCACTGATGGGTGACACTGAAAGGGAGCTCAGATGGGCACTGATATGTGGCATTGATGTGGCACTGATGGGCACTGAAATGTGGCATTGATGTGGCACTGATGGGCACTGACAGGTGGCGCTGCTGGGGTTACACAGATCATCAGGGCACACTGATCATCAGGGCTCTGATGATCTGTGTACATGTCCCCTTCGAGGAATGCCAATTACTGGTTCTCCTCTCCTCACGGGCTGTCAGCGTGACAGCTCGTGGGAGAGAAAATGCCGATAACTGGCATTTCCCTGTTTACATGTGATCAGCTGTGATTGGACACAGCTGATCACATGACTGAGCCGACATCTTTGGCTCTTTCCAATGATCGTGATCTGCTGCGTGCTCCTGGAGCTGCGCATGCGCGGTTAGAATGGGAGGACGTCATATGACTTCTTCCCAGATTGAGAGAACCGCCTTGCGTCCCTCAATTTACTATATGGCGGGCAGGAGGCGGTTAAAAAAAGAAAATTTCCTGGTCTGGGCATGCTCAGTCATGTCACTACTGAGATGTTTGAACTAGGTGAAGTCAATGCCTGTTTGGATTTTTTGAGCTATATCACTTTATACAGACAAACCTAGAATTATTTTAAAGCAGTTATTCTTATAAATGTCCAACATATGTATAGGAAGTATAAATTGCTTGAGATGTCATTAAAAAGATATTTATCTGCTGTTCACCTAAGTTCTAAGAGGCAAACTCATTTAGACGGTCTCTAAGTTTTGTGACCATTAGTAAATTCCGATTGTGTCTATTTTTGGACTGAGTGCTTTAGTAAATTTCTTCTCCGCCCTAAAGTAGTTGGTCATGCAAGGAACTGCGACCATTTGCAGACAAGGTGCTTTGGTAAATCAACCCCTGAGTGTCTGCATGCCAGCTGAAGACTTTTTCTTGTATATATCTATGTGCATTGACACTTGACATATACAGTACTTTCTGCCTGCATCTCTTCTCTGTTTCTCTGCTTCTGTCTAGCTAAACTGCAGGGTGGGATTCTCTATTCTCTCCATGTACTATAATGCATTTTTATGTCTTTATATGATGCTGAAAATAAAAGAGGGAACCCTAAACCTTCCACCACTGGGAACATGTGTTTATTTCTGTCACTGATGGAAGAATTTCCTTTCACTTCCTGTTCTGTCTGAAACCTGTCAAATAGATGCTAGGTAGATAGGTGATATCCCCTGACTTCTTACACCCATCAATTAGACAGAAAGTAGGGTGAAATCTCCCAAAGAAAACACAGTCAGTATTAAAAATCTATGCATGAAATGATCATCTGTTTTAGCCATTTGGCCTACAAGAAACAGAAAGAAAATCACACGATTCCCTGATTCATGCTAACAGTGTGCATGGAAGAATCTCAGTTTACGTTCGAGCAATAATGTTCCATCTTGATTTTAAATAGACTTTTCTTGACCAGGGTGGTGGTTACAGGGCCATCCACAGGTCACATTTTGGAGCCATCTAGGCCCAGTAGGGATGAGCCGACAGTTTGGTCCGAACACCTGAACTTGAGCCGAAAATCATGTATAGAAGTTGTATTTTTACTGTATTTTTTAATACATTTAAAAACAAAAGGGGTATTTTAAGAGGCCATAACTGCCCTGTGGGTTGCCCGCACACCAAATTGCTTATAGTGTGGCTCATAGGGTCAACATTCAAATATTACAAATAACACCAGCAGGAGTAAGGGCTGCTGATTATAGAGACCAATTATTAGAGCCCATAGGGCTTCACTCAACTAATTTACAAACAACGGTATTTAAAAAAAATACAAAATCTTTAATAAACTTATTTTAAAATAATTGCTAAAGTATAAATATGAGGAATCTAATACCTGAAGAGGAACATTTACAATTGGATGAATTGAAGGAGCAAATAAACCAGAGCATCAAAGGACTGGATCCTTCTGAGAGTAGTGAAGAATTTGCTATTCAAAAGGTGAACAACACGAAAGAAATAGAAAAGCTTCATGAAATGTAAAATTCACAAAACAATCTAAATTTAAACAGGATCTTGCTGGTTGGGAGAAAGGAGAGATCTTTGACATCTCATTCCAGACAGGAAGAAGTAGATTGAGGCATAGAAGATTTTGATCAGTCTCTCAGTCAGAAGCCAGATCAGTTAGTTTAGAACAGGACAAAGTGAATTTTTCAATAAGAGAAGAATCTCAGAAAGAGTAGGCATATTAAAATCAAGAAGGGAAAAACAAAGAAACAGAACTCAAAATCAGAAGAGATGAATTTAAATGAGTTATTTTTAATTTCATAGATTCAGCTCCCATTGATTTCAATGGGGTTTGGATTCAGCATCCGAAATTCTTGTACTTGTTCACCGAACCCTGCTTGAACCGAACCCAGAGATGGATGCATTCCTAGACAAACATAACTGGATATTAACATTTATAGGTGATAACAATAGGGATTGTTGATCCAGGGAATATCCGATTTTCTTCTAGAGGATCAGGAAGAAATTCATTTTTCCACTAATAGAGCAAATTGGACCATTGTATAGGGTGTTTTCCTTTCTTCTAGATCAGCTGTGAGTATCTGAGGATTCTGTATATAAAGGTTTTAAATTTATGTATTCTAGTTTTAAAATGTTTTTCTACTGCTTGCACAGCACAGTGGCTAGGAGGTTAGCACTTCTGCCTACAGCAGTAGGGTCGTTGGTTTGAGTAAAGATAGTTTTTTTTAGAGGTTACAAAATAAATTACTGTATCACCCAATATATGGCTTCCATTCAGTAGCCCAAAGAGGCATACAAAAAATAAGGGTTTGTGAAAAGGAATTCACAGAAAAGCGGCTACATTATGAACAGAATGTGATACTCAGAAAAACTTCCAAAAATTATGCTTTATTACATATAAATATTTGACATATGGTCAATCGCCCTGGTTTACCATCACCTCAGTATGAGACAATACACACAGACCTAAAACCATATAAAATAACACCAAGACCGGTCTGAATAGATGTGCTGCAAAGACAATGACCACTAAGGTCTAAAGTCCTTGTAGCACTGGCACATAGGTTAACACTTCCCAAAGGAGGTGTACACAAAAATTATACCATAGGTATATAGTGTCACATGTAATGAATATAAAGACATGTGTCATAACCATATAGGTTCTATCCCATAGAGGGGGATAAAAAAAATATGGGATATCCCTCTATGGGATAGAACCTATATGGTTATGACACATGTCTTTATATTCATTACATGTGACACTATATACCTATGGTATAATTTTTGCCCATATGTCAAATATTTATATGTAATAAAGCATAATTTTTGGAAATTTTTCTGAGTATCACATTCTGTTCATAATGTAGCCGCTTTTCTGTGAATTCCTTTTCACAAACCCTTCTTTTTCGTTGGTTTGAGTCCCAACCATGTCACTATGTGCTTGGAGTTTACATGTTTTCCCTGTGCCTATGTGGGTTTCCTCTGGGTAGTCCGGTTCCAAAGACATGCTTGTAGGTTAACTGGCTCCTGTCTAAATTGGTCCTAGTATGTGTATGTATGAATGTGAGTTAGGGACCTTAGACTGTAAGCAACTTGAGGGCAGGGACTGATGTGAATGTACAACATATATGTAAAGCGCAGCATAAATTGACAGTGCTATATAACCTTAAATATGTACCCTAAATAAATAAACTAGATGACCTTGCGTGTTTTTCCAACCCAACTAACTATGTAAAAGATTGCGTGACCAATAGTGTGGTGTTTTGTACAGGAATGGAGTAGAACGTTACAATGCATAAGTGGGCACTGAGCTTTGAAAATCACTCAAGATTCTTCAGTAATTTTTAGATCATTGTCCACCTTGAATTTGTGTTGGATGCAGGCACTGGCCATCTCATTAGAGTTGACTTTCTACTCCATTAGTGTTAAAAACCTGACAGAGGTTCTCACCCTTCCCCACTCTTTTTAAAATTAAAATGGTAATGAATAATAAAACACTGAGTGATTTGGTAAATACCACAAGAAATGCCAGATGTGGGATTTGCATTTATATAGATGATATGTTGAAAGTAATATGTTGTACACCACATAACGTCTGTGGTTAATTTTTAGTGAATTGACTCCTTTGTCTATTGTCTGCCTAATTTAAACTTCATACAGAGCCATTTAAACAGGGGCTTTGAAGGGGTTTGTATCCCTCCGATGACTTCTTGAACTGTGTGTGATTTCTGAATAGCAGATCATATTATAGCCTATTCATAGCAAAGTGGAAAAATAACTCAGCAAAGGTGATAGAGAACTGACTCGACTGCACAAAACGTTTAATTCTTTGTCCTGAATGTAATAGCAAAAAATAAAGAAAATATATACAAAACACTATGCTTTAATTTTTGTCTAGAACTGGTGTGTTAAATTTAATCATATACTACCTGAGATAAAACTGCACAGTTCCCAGTGCCTAAGAGGATAAGTGCATGTTAAACCAAAAGTTCATAATATAAAAGTTGATTATATAAAAAAACGGACCATCATTTTTCTTTCCTGGCACCAATCCATTTCAGCATATACAGGTGAAACTCGACCAGGTCTGTTTTTCTTTAGCCCAAGTAAGACGTTTCTGATGTTGTTTGTTGTTCAGGAGCGGCTTGACAAGAGGAATACAACATTTGAAGCCCATGTCCTGGATTTGTCTGTGTGTGGTGGCTCTTGATGCACTGACTCCAGCCTCAGTCCACTCCTTGTGAAAGTCCCCAACACTTTTGAATGGCCTTTACCTGACAATCCTCTCCAGGCTGCTGTCATCCCTGCTGCTTGTGCACCTTTTTCTTCCATACTTTTCCCTTCCACATAACTTTCTCTTAATGTGCTTTGATACAGCACTTTGGGAACATCCAACTTCTTTTGCAATTACCTTTTGAGGCTTTCCCTCCTTGTGGAGGTTGTCCATGATGGTTTTCTGCACAACTGTCAGGTCACCAGTCTTTACCATGATAGTGATTCCTACTGAACCAGACTGAGAGACCATTTAAAGGCTCAGGAACCCTTTTCAGGTGTTATTGCTTAATTAGCTGATTAGAGTGGGACACTTTGAGCCTAGAATATTGCACCTTTTCACAATATTCTAATTTTGTGAGATTGTGGATTTGGGGTTTTCATGAGCTGTAAGCCATAATCATCACAATTATGACAAGCCACAGCTTGTACTATCTTGCTTTGCATGTAATTTGTCTATCTCATATATTAGTTTCACCTTTTAAGTTGCATTACTGAAATAAATTAACTTTTGCACAATATTCAAATTTTTTTACTTTCACCTGTATGTGGTAATATGTTGCCATGTTTGAGCCAGGAAAACTGAAAAT